ATTAACTTTGGGGAGTGATTCCGACTAGAATACTTGATGAAATTGGCTTTTCAATTGAGAGCAGAAGCTAATTCAAATTACCCTCCTACTTCCCAAAGCGTCTTCCACCGGGATCGACGGGAACCAGTAATCAAGGGAGTTGCTGGTGGAGGAGCCACTGGAGTGGTCGAGGGAGGGGCCGAGGAGGTGGCCGATGGTGGTGCAGAAGGTACGACGGTGTCGATTTCTAGCTTCATGCCTTGGTCACAATGTCCAGCAGTTCCACAAATGAAGTACCTCTCGGTGGAGAATCCATTCCTATCCCACATCGGATGTAGACTAAATCAGTGGGAGAATAATTCTTTATAAAAGGGTGCACCACTCAATGTTTAATCAACAGTTAATTGGGCCTGCCAATGTATTTGATGGGCCTTTTAGAACACTGGGCGGGTTATACGAGCCTAGGCGGTAAAAAAAAAGAAGTTGATCGCATTTTTCCACCCGTACCTTGCATGCGACGCGTTTCGTCCACGCGTCGCGCTTGGACGCGCCTACGCGGCGCATTAGGCCGCATTTTAGAACACTCTCATCCAATGAAGATTATTTATGGTACCAAAACATTTTCTTACACCACCACACCTAAATGTTGTCTACTTATGGACTTTGGGGCCCAAAACAACAACACCACACTGCAACACAACAATGGAATCCAAAAGAGTTTTAAAATCATCAGAATGATAGCCAAGTTTCCTACAATAGCAACATGTAATAAGCTTTAGAGAGTAATAATGAAATAGAAAATAGATTTTGATTAAATAATCAATTTTTTGTGTTCTCATTAAGAACCAAACCTTCTTGTCTTGTTACACCTCGGTTATGCTTTGACAAAATTAAGTTTTAATCTTCTTGAGACTTGTTAGAACATCTTTAGCATTGAGCCTCTCCTCAGGCAAATCAGTCGTGCATTCTAGTGCTACTTCCATGATTAATTTGAAGCATCTCTCCTTAACTCGAATATTATCTTCAACAGCATTCACTAAATCGACATCCACTATGTGCATTATTTCATTTGGGAATGATTCAAGCACCCATTTCCTCATTGTGAACTTTCCGACAAACATATCATCTGTTGGCTTCTTCTTGGCAAATGTTTCCATTAGCATAATCCCATAACTATAAACATCCACCATAGTTGATACTAATCCAGTTGATCCATATTCTACATAACTAGTTTAATGATAAATGACGGATAAATAAAGCAAGAACTAAAAAGTAATACATGGTTACACTATTATCGTTCACAGATACACAAGTAGATGAAAGAAACCATTTACCTGGAGCCATATATCCAATGGTGCCCAACGTCTTGGTAATCGAAATTCTTTGGTCTTCAGTGAAAAGCTTGGCAATGCCAAAGTCGGGCAACCATATCTTCATCTAAAAGTATGTTGCTAGACTTCAAATCACAATGGACAATTGGAAAGGGATACCCATAATGTAAATACTCTAGTGCAGATGCGACATCTATCATTATTTCAAATCTCTGAGCTAAATTTAGGAAACAGTTGCTCGAAGACAGCCATTTGGTAAGGTTTCCATTAGGCATATATTCCATCACCAAGACTTTAAGATCAAGGTTAGAGCAGCTACTAATTACCTTAACAAGAGTTCTATGACGAATGTTGCACAATATTTTGCACTCAATATCAAAACTTTGGTTTGTACCTTGCAAATCTACGTTAAAAACCTTAATAGCAGCAATCATTCCATCTGAAAATATTCCCTTGTACACTAAACCAATACTGCCTCTGCCAATTAGTCTTTCTTCACCAAATTTATTTGTAACATTTAGCACTTCATAATATGAAATTCTCTTGATAGTGACAGGGGAAGTAGACGTAGCTGGAAGAAGTGTATTTCTACTATGGGTTTTTATTAAATAAACCACAGTAATGGCCAGACTCAATACAACAGCAATTGATGGTAAAATGTACTTCAAGAATTTCGTATTGCTTGATAATCGAGTTGTATCACCTTTGCATGACTTGACCTTAAATTTAGATGCTCCACACAATTCTCCATTTCCAATGAAAAAATATGAGGTAAAGTTCTTAAAAGGCCCTCCATTTGGAATTTCACCAGTGAGTTCATTGAATGAAACATTGAAATACTCAATGTATTCAAGTTTCTCCATTGACTTGGGGATTACTCTTGGGAAATTATTTAATTTGTCATGATGGGCCGACATATGTAATTAGCCGTGTATAAATGCTATCTTAAAGTTAAGCCCAAAATTAAAGTGATCTAATAAGGAATTAAGTAATTGGGTTTTAAACATCTAAATAAAGTGTGGACCAGACTATATGTGTAGAGACCGGATCCATTAGGGTTTGTATTTGACGATGAGCCAAATACATATGGAAATATATACAGGGTTATGTTCCCTAATTCATATAGTGATTTTCTCATTCTTTGTGCCATCCCATCAACATAAGAATACAAGAGAAAGCATATGAAGAGGAAGATCCATAAACCCACAATCAGGAATTAAGAAGAAGGTTTGAAGCAACCAAATTGAATATTTACAGATCAAGATCAAGATTCATTATTCAGGTCAGAAATCAATGGATTAAGGTATGTTCTGCGTTAGTTTAGTTTCATGATGGTTTGACATGAAGATCTTGACAAGTTCATAAAATTTAAGTTTCAATAAAGTTCCAACAAGTAGTATCAGAGCCTATTCATGTTAAATCATTGAGAATCAAAATTTTAATTTCGTTCTTGATTAATTTCATGGTTTTCGAATTTAGCAAATCCGAATTTAGATTTTGTTAAATATGAAAATTATTCAGTCAAAATTTCAAGAATTTCAGTTATTAAAAAAAAATCTGGCATTGCAGCGACCGCCGCCAACAATCGCGCCAGCGGCAGCTGCGCCACGCTGCCATAACAACAGCATGACACGCTGCTGTAAAGGTAGCGTGAGACGCTGCGTCCCACGGCGCTGGGGTGGCCGGGGGGGATGCCGGCCACTTGTGGTCCTGGCGCTGGGAATATGAACCCTAATTTTTCCATTTTAGGGTTTTGGATGAATTTTGGGGAGGGGGCTTGGATTGAAAATTTGAAGTTTTGAGGTCGTAGTTTGCAATTTCAAATTAGGGTTTAATTGTTTAAGCCCCTACAGTTTACAACTTTGGTTTATCAGCCCATTAAGTTTAAGGTTTGGTGTTTCAGCCCCCTAAGGTTAAAGATTCATTCAATTGGGCCTTCAAAGTTTCAGATTTAATAATTCAGTCCTTCAAGTTTCAAAATTAATTATTTATGGGCCATTAAAGTTTTTAATTTTAATTTTTGAGCCCCTTCAGTTTACAACTTTGGTTATTTAGCCCCTAAAGTTTAAAGTTCATTCAAGTAGGGCTGTCCATGGGTCGGTTCGGTTCGGTTCTGAAGAGACCCGTACAGACCCAAAACTTTCGGGTATTTAATAAATGGACCCGTCAGGTCCAAATATAATTATGGAACCGTTCGGTTCGGTTCGGGTCGGTTCGGTTCGGTTCCGTACCATAATTAATTTTTTTAATATTTACAGCAACACTACATAAATACAACTAATGACATTTCATTCGTAGCTTTTACAAATTAA